TGCCAATCTCAATAACTATAACCACTATTTTAATCAGATTTTGTTTTGATATAATCTTTAAAGAATAAAATATTGCTGATAAAATTGCAGTTTCATATATACACTTCCAGTCTCATCTAACACCCTCCCTTTCCAGAGTTAATCATTCACATATTGGTATATGTGACCTTTATGGTATCCCACGTCCATATTGCTCTAAAACTTATTCACCCACTGAATGTTACTTATCAAAAATATGTCTTTTTAACTTGTGCAACGAATTTATTTGTGTTAACTACTATGTTCGCTATTTATTCATTCCCCTGTTTATGGAAGAAATTCCATAATAATCATACTTGTACTAAGTCTCCTTTATGAATATATACACAAGTTTCTTCAATTTACCCAGGAAAGGATTTGTCATAAAATAACCCATGTACCACATATTGTCACTTTGTCCTTCACAGAGATTATAACAATTTACACTTCCTGAAGCAAGGTACATATAAGAATTCTTTTTTAGTATATCTTTTCTAATAATTTGTATTATCATATTTTTTTCTTTTTAAATGTCTGACAGCTATGCACCACAGCTCTCAAGACAACTCTTCAGTTAATTTGGGTTTACCAAAGGTGCTCCCTAAAGCGATTTATCTTTCTTATGGCTAACAGTGGAATGCCAATGATGTTAGTAATAATGGACATCTTTTACTAGGCCATTTAGTATGTTCTAGAACTATTCAAAGCATTTTAAATATATCTTTTTATTTAATTCTTCTAAATAATATAAGAATGTGAGATTCAAGACTTAAGGGATTTTTTTATTTATTCTATTGACTATTTTATTTCCAGAGATTTAAACAGTCCTATTATCTAGTCGGTGCTCATTAAATATGTATTAAGTAAATGAATATATGCATAACTAAATAATACAATAATGAACATTTTGAAAAAAGGCATTTACAGAGTCAGAGAGGTTAACTTATTTCTGAAAGGTCAGAGATCTGGTAGGAAATGGAAGAATTATCAATCTTTAAGCACACTTAACTTCCTCCATAGACTTATTTTTCAATGCTCCTCATAGCCTCTAGAGAAAAAATTTACTATTGATATCTTTACACCTAATCTATAGGAATTACTTCAGTGGTGAAATTTTAGTGAGAATGAGGGGCACTTTTTATTTTGTTTAAAATTATTTCTCTTTAATTGACAAACAACAGTTGTATGCATTTATGATATGCAACATATCTTGAAACATGCATTCATTTGGAATGGCTATCAAACTGAAGAAGGTATCCATTACCTGATAAATTACCTTTTTTGTAGTGAGGACACTTAAAATCTGTTCTGTCAGAGATTTTGAAGTATACATATATTGTTATTAACTCTATTCACCATGTTGTAAGATCTCTTGAACTTATTTCTTCTGTTTAACTGAAGTTTTATATCCTTTGACTCTTTGACCATCATCTCCCTGATCCCTCCACACACACCTACCTGCCATAGCCCTTGGTAACCACTGTTCTACTCTCTGCTTCTGTGAGTTCAACCATGAGGAGGTTGAACTAATTAGTAACTAAGTACTAATCCAGTACTTAGCTGGATTGCGATATACAGCACAGGCCCTGGGGCCATTCTGTAAGAAAAAGTCATTACTAGTTTATTAAAATTCCCAGGATGCTTTTATAAGATCAAACATATGACTTTCTATTTTCAAATCTTGTATCTGTATCTACTTTTCTGCATGTAAGTACCAGGAGTAATGCTCCTTTCTAGGTCCAGAGGAGGACTCTGAAGATTACGTAGTTGAGGACAATCTGCTCTCATCTGCCTGAAATCCCTTCTGCCCTTGCTGCAACCTTTGTTCTCTCTCAAAATGCTCAGGCCAGGTGTATGTCTTAGACTCATTGGTAAGTGGGGGTGTCTTATGTGGCAAGGAGAAACTTTCTCCATAATCCTTTATCAGTATATAAATTGTCTCACAAAATTCAACATATTAATTTTTGTTCTTCCAAATTACACTTATTAAGTGCATGTGCTTAGAATTGAGAAAATGCCTACAAATCACCAAATAGAAATGAAATTATGAGACTCATTTTGATTCTGTTTTTTTGTTTAAAAGCCTTTGTCAATATTCTGATTATTGCACATAATATGATTTATTAACTATGTATATATATTAATACTTATGAGATGATTTTAAGCAATTCCTGTGAAAACTATATTTTGTCATTCAAAGTTTTGAGGACACATAGCTAATGCATCTGATAAATTTAGGAACCATTCTATCATTGTGCAAGTCTAAAATGAAAATCTTTCATGCTATTTATCAGTAAGATTGTGATTAATTATTAATTACCTTAATCATTATTAATGATTATTACTCTATTTCCACCTTATAGGTACAGTAAACATTTTCAGATCTGATTGATTTTCTAAGGATCTATTAACATTTATAATATTTAAACAACAATCCAGCAGTCTACCAAATGTAAGCTTCTTCAGTGAACTGGGTTGTTAGTATTGCTAGTACATGAAATGATGTGATAAATTCCAGTTAATATGCCCAAACTACTCTTTAGTCATGAAGTACAGGCAGTAATTCAAACATAATTACCAATAGAGCAATAATGGATCACCTTGGGGGAGCATATGCAATCATTTTTGGACACACACTTCCTCTTTGTCTTTCACCATGACTTAAGTAAAGATGTGTGTACAGTTTCTCTGAAGTCTTCATAGTGATTGCTGGACCATGTACCATAACATGAAAATATAATCAGACAGGACCCAGTGGGAGTGAGGGGAAGGGAAAAAAACAACCACGACAATACTGTCTCTTGATTTTAGCCAGTGGAACAGAAGGTACTGGCTGCAGGTCGTCAATGGCCCGTTCTGATGAGGAGCAGCTCCCTTAGCTGGTAAATAGAAACCTGGGCTGTTCAGCCTGAGTCATCAAGCTGACTCTCACCTTCCTATCTGAACATCTCCAATGGCCGGTCACGTGCTGTTATTTTTCAGTGGTAGAGTGAATGGGTCACTTCTATGAGCCATTAAACCACAATTTCACCCACATCTATGAGGATGGTTTTTGACATCTGGGATTAGTGTTCTAACCCAACACCGAAAAGAAAACCATGAACTCTTGCTGTGAGGATTCATGAGTTATCTGAATCCTGCGGACTTCACAGCTCTAATCACAGAAGACTTGGGCAGTGATGGTTCTACTTGTTGTCTATAGGTATTCTCCCTATGTGATGTCAATATTACTACATTAAACTGCCTTTATAATGATTAGTGTGAAGACTTTCTTTGGTTTTGTAATGAAAAGCAGCCACCAAACAGAACCTAGCTTTTAACAATTAAATTACAAGATGCTGATCTAATATAGGATATTGACTGAATCTTCATTGCAAAGTCTATACTAAGGAGACACCAAATAGACAAAAATATGCTTAACACAGCATTGTTTATAATTAAATTTACTGTTTGCCTAAATGCTAATGAAAGTAGAACAGAGAAATGAATGAGTTTATGAAGCACATGCAATGATGCTGAAATATGCAGCAAATGTTTTGTGTAAAAAAGCAGATATTATATATGTGTGTGTATATATATATATACATATATATGTGTGTGTGTATATATATATACATATATTATATTGAAAATATAAATATATATGTAAAATAATGCTGAATGGAAAAAATCAGTATCAGTTGTAATTATTCCCTAATAGTGAACTCAAGGGCTATTAATATTTTATATCACACATGTTATTTCAAAGTTTGCAAGTCTATAAAAATAACTTTTAAATAATTAATTAGCATACATTTCTTTTTCATATACCAGTGTATCAGGAAAATATGCAAAGTTTCTGGAATTATTTTTTAGGATGAGACTATGTATACACACACACAGAGTGCCCAAAACATATACACATTTATAAAAACAAAAAAACTATATAAAATTTGTGATACTGAAGTCATATTTGAGTTTTGAGATTATAAGAGGTGCTTACTGCGACTTGTATTCATCTTTTGTTACCAGCATATATTGAGTATTACAATTTTAATACAGTTTTTTCCATTCTTAAAATGTGTATATATTTTTGGTACCCTCTGTATATATTCTAGATAGCTAGATAGATAGATAGATAGATAGATAGATAGATAGATATAAAAGAAGTAAATTCAAAAGGTTAAGCTGACCCACATTAGGAAAATTTTAACAAATGCTTTTAAATATTCATGATAATTTGCATTTTATAAAAAATATGATTCCCCTTCCAGGAATATCTCTCATTAAAAAAAATATAAAATTCATCTTAAGGAAAGGCTTACTTTTTAAGATAATAAAATAGACTAAAAAGTATTTATTTCTTTGCTGTTCTAACAGTATAATTAAACCTGAGTTATGCTTCTGAGGGTACAGCTTCAAGAGAGTATTTGCACAGTCCTGTGGGATGCCATTAAAATCTGTGATGAGAATAATCTGAGCTTCGTATGGAATCTCAAGCCTGCCTGGGAATGAGGCAGTTAGATGTTTTATTTCTTTCTGCTTTGGGTTAGCGCTATCAAATACATATAGTATTGGTTGAATTACCATATTGTACATCAAATCAATTAAGCTTCCCATTATTATTTTTTCCCAAGGAGAGAAAATTTTGGTGGGAGAGATACAAGTTTAGGAGAAAAGGAAAAATGCTGATTTACTTGAAAAGTCAGGAAAAGTCTCCGACTTCCAGCTATTCTTTTCTAGTATGCTTTGCTCATGAATAGGAGTTTCTTTTACAGACACACTAAGTTTGAACTGTGGAACTTACAAGGCATGAGGCTCCCAGGCCCAGAACAGGCCACTGGTGACAACCCTAACTGCTCCTACTACATAACAGCACTCTGCTTCCAGAAAGACCACCCATGAAAGTCTTGGTACAAGACATCAAATGGATTATACTCATATTTAGCCTGTTTCAGAAAATTGACAAGAGCCAACGTAGGAAGTGAAAGATCAGAACATACCAGACACAGCCAGGAAGTCATCGATGCTCGTGATGTCATCTACTGCTTCCGTGAGGACGTGGATGTGGCTCTCCCAGGTGCGCCTGTACATTTCCATGGTGTTTCTGACCACTTGACTTTTGGGTCTTGCAGCCAAAGCAAGTGCAGCATTAATAATCTGTAAAGATAGAGAATATTTACATAATGACTTTCCTTGGCAATAGTTACCGTTGTGCAGATGACAGGTATTTTTTTCTTTTGAAGACTGAACATACTCATGCTCAACAACAGAAAAAAAATGGTAAAAATGCTTCCATATATAACTTCCTATTTTCTTTGGTAATAATTTAGCTTTATTTTTGATAACAATTTTAAACGAATTTATTGAGTATCATTCCACTAAGGACTACAGGAGATCCAAAGGTAACTGGTATCTGCCATTACGGAGGTTGTCTATTCCTCAATGGGAAGGGAAAGATATAAGTGTAACTTGAACTATAACTTAATTTAACATACAATAAATATTATAATAGCAAACAATGGTCAACAGGCCCTAGCAGAGAGATTATCTTCAGCAGAAGTGCCAAGGAAAGGCTTCAGGGACGAGTACCATTTTAATGGGGCATTTGGATTCAAGTTGTACAATTAAGTAGTGAATGCCTCCCTACTACACACAAATCACTGGAATAAGCTTTGGCTTCCTTAAGGGCTTATAGAATTTAACCAGTAGATATTCATTCATTCACTTATTAATTCACTATTTCAAATATACACCAACTTTGTTTTTATATACCAATCTCTGTTAGATGTAAATGCTGTAGCAATGAAGAAGATAGAAGCAAAAATCACTGCCTTTCTGAAGGTTATATTGCAGCCAGGAGGTGGCAGGCATATAGTATATTAAAGAAATAAAATATCTAACCTATTAAAGGTGATAAGAACTAAAGAGAGAAAATAGATCAGAGAAGAGGGCTAAGGACTGGAGGGGTGAGAAGGTAGCAGGTGTGAAATTTTAGGAAGGCTTTGCACTGAAGCAGCCTTTGAGGATAGTCACTGATGGGAAAGGATTCTGGGGTAGAGACGTGGCAAGGTTCAAGAAAAGAGGCGGGAGAAATTCTGTGAGAAGGGGAAGCAGTCCTGTCGAGAGCCTGGGTATGCAAAAGTGACCAGCGGGAAGCCTTGACCAGACTGCTCAGAACCGTGGCCTCATGTGGAAGTCACTGGAGAGCCATGTTGACTTCTGGACAATTTTCCCAGAAGTACACTTTAGAAAAATCCATTTCACAGCCAAACAAAGGCAGCTTCTGCAAGAGGTGGTAGATGTGAGAAAGAGCAACAGGGGAGGTAACAAAAGGGACTTGACAGGGGGATAAGGTTAGGTCAAAAATTATTGCCAGGAATACCATGGAGCCAGTAAGGAATCTTTGGAAAACACCATTTAAGCTCATGTGAATACATCCACAGGAGTGTAGTAATAGTAGGGTATAAAACATTAAGCTTTAGAGGATGCCATTTCTACATCTACAGATGCATACAGACGTGCCAGAAATATAGGCTAGATGACTACATGCAACAATCAGTGGTCTCTCTGGGTAGTAGAAATGCTAGTGCTTTTCTTTTCTTTTCTTTTCTTTTTTTTGCTTCTGTTTTTGTAAAATGGTCAGGCTTTTTATGGGAATATATGTTAGTTGTATACTCAGAATAAATGAAGTTATTCTTCATAATTTCCCAAAGAAAGATTATTTACTAAAGTTTTTTTCTTTAGTAACTAGTACAGGGAGACTGGTTATAGTTATTAAAAAGGACAGGCTTGAGAGTTCAAAAATCAGTCAGGTGGCAGAGACAGATGTGAGGTGTTATTTGGGAACATAGTGTTAATGAAGGGGATTAGACCTAAACTTTCCTATGAAAGAAGTTTGGTCTGTCATACAAATTACAAAATTTGCCATCAAAGATGTGCAACTGGAGCTCATTTTTAAAATATGTTGTTATTCCCATACTCTTCATGTGTCACGCCTTGAAGCAAATTATTCATGTGTAGGATTACTGCTATCAGATTGTGTACAGGACACTAGTGACATCACAATGAATAGGATGGAATCAGTTTCTGTTCTAAGACACCCCACAGTTTAGGAGGGGGAACAGCCCACATCCAGTTCCTGGACTTATATCAGAATTACCCAGAAGGCTTAACAAAGCCCAGATTCCTGAGCCATATCCTTAGAGTTTCTGATTCAGTCGATCTGGGATGGGTCCTGAGAATTTGCATTTCTGAGAAGTTCCTAGGTAATAGTGATGTTACTCTTCTGGGAACCTCACTCAGACTCACTACAATATATAATAAATGCCATAATGTGGGAGCTATCACAAAAGTAAGCTCAGATGCTTTATAACAACACACGGGAAGAGGACTCAGTTTCATAAGGAAAGCTGTCTCAAAAGACTAAAATCTGAAAAAGAAGCAGAAATTCATATAAACGGTGAGGATATCCCTTTAGAAAGAGGCAATAAGATGTGCAAAGAGCTGGCAGCCAGACAGAGGGGAACGTTCTCCACTTCCTGGGGAACGTTCAGATGAGACTCAGCACCTTCAGGATGGTATGACTGTGATTCCCAGGTCATGTTTAGCAGAGAGGGGAAGGTAATAAGGTTGAAAGCAAAAGGCGGCAATGGGGAGTGGAGGAAAGAACACGCCTTTGGAAAGTACCAATGTGCAGGAGGAAAAGATCCACTAGAGGTGATGAAGATGAGAGAAGAAACCCGGGGGGGAGGGAGGGCTCAGCTAGTAAAGGATCAGAAGATGAAGAAGAAAACCCTTGTAAAAGATCAAGGGCTGCAGGAGAGTCAAGAATAAGGAGGACCAAAGGGCTTCTGAATTTGGAAAACAGGAGTCATGGGCACAGAAGAATGTTGGACACAGCATTCAGATTTCGCCAAAATATAGCAACAATAAAAAGAAGCCTTTTCTACTCTGTAACCTAAAGGCTGTACTGTAAATGACATTTTTTTAAACAAATTATTGGAGGTAGAAGAGGGGAAAAATTAGTTGCTTGAAAATATTATGTTGATATTCTTTTATTTCTTTTTAATAAAAAAGGAACACATTAAATTTTAAGAAAACACACACTAACTTCAGAAATAACTACTGTGCAGCATTCCTCGACTTCAGTTTTAGAGTTTTATTAACCTATTAACTTGCAATGTACCTTTGTATCCCCCGTAAAGGCGCTGGTCTCTGGTGTTTCATTGTTCCTGCAATTGGACAACCGAGTACACAGGTGGTCAGGCTGAAATTATGCCTTCACAGCAACGCACACTTCTAAAGTACTGGCGCAGAACCCCCAGTGGGGATGTGGAGTCGTGGATATAAGACAGGCCATACTTTGTAAGAACATTTTCAGTTCTGCAGCTGATCCTATTCATCCGATTTGACACTGCAGACTATCAGAAAGCCGCCTCCTACTTGACTCCCCTAATATTCAGCTTAAATCTAAAAGCAGATTCGATTCAGAAGAATTCTTCCAACTCTTTTTAAGGCAGAAGAAATTTTCATCCCCATGTCAGATTCCTAGCATTTTACCTTATAGAGATATTTCTTTTTTTAAAAAAAAGACTATTCTTAAATCTTCGTGCATAACTAAAAAATTTGAAATGAATTACATTACTTTCTGAAGCATTCTGGGTTTTTTCAGATTAGGGTTGAGATGTGTACAATTCAAAATTGACCTAGATCCTGGCGATTACCTAGTCGGTCAGTTTACCTTGGAAAGAATCTTTTTAAATTCGAGTTTTATTATGTCTTAGCTGAATTGTTTTAGTAGCCTTGAAAATAGTTTCCTACTCCCAGTCACTATTTGCTCCAAACACATTTCCTCTCTCAAAATGCAGATGTGCCACGGCCCCTAATTGTTGATTACCTTTGATAACATCCTAGTTGACTAACAACAAAATCCAAACTCTTTTTCAATAATTCATGATCTACAGACATCCACAAGCTGCCCCTGACTTCCAGCTCTAACAATCTCCCTCTTTTTAACCTTTGCTCCAGCCAGGTTTTAAGTCATTTCCTGATCACATGGTGAGCTGCTCCTCCTCTGTGACTGTGCCCTTACAGCTGAATCCTCTGCAGCCCTTGCTTCATTCCTTTCCCTGCTCTAGTCCATCCTGAGAAACATTCCTTTCTAACAACCCAGGGAAATACCACTTCATACGATGAAGCCTGTCCCATTCCCTAGACCCAACAAACTAAATTGTCTTCTTTGTTTGAAAAGCACTTTGCCCGTGTAACTGAACGGCAGGCATTCTACAGCATAGGGATTCCTACACGTGTCTGCTCCGGGGTGATGAGCTCTTCAGAGATTCTGTCTCATTCCTCTTTGCTTCCTGGGACACCGAACATGTTGACCATAGTAACCAGAAACTCTCCCTCACAGAAACTGCTCTGCCTTCAGCCCACAGGGAGAGGAAAGCCCCAGGGAGCCAGGTTTTGTATCCCTTTCTCCCTCTTCAACACTGTTGAGATGATAGGCAGGACTCAGTTCAAAAACAATCTGTACACAGGTTAACCATTGTCCTTGAGGCTTGATGTAAAAGTGGGGCTGTTTGATCCTAGCATGAAATTCTGAACTAGAACTTATGGAAAAATCACTAGTTAGGGATGGAGACGAAAGCTGCATACAAAGCTGTGTGTAGATAAAAACCATGTAGTAAAATCAGAACAAGAGGAGGCTGGTGGAGGGGAGGCCATTGGGCACTGGAGTAAACCAAAGTCGTCAGGCAAGGAGACGCTGAGCAGAAGAGCACGATGAGGTAAAGAAAGAAACACAAGTAGAGAGTGAAATAACCCAGTGGCACGCAGAGGGAGAATGAATGCAAGGTCAAAAGCACCTACAGTTGACTTTTTTAAGAGCATCCTATTTCAGGTTAAGTCCACAGAAATAACGAGATATTAAATTCATAGTCCATGCTCTGTCCCCTTCACTTTCTACATATTAACCTCATGTTTTAAAACTGTATTTAATTTTTACAACAACACAATGAGGTAGGTAGGTGCTATCATTATCCCCATTTTCAGACCAGGTTCCCCAGTTACTAAGGACTCACTGTCAACCCAGGGTAGAGCTTATGCTCTTACCTGCCTCACCACGCTAACTTCTCTAATAAGACAATAAGAGTTTA